CCGCCTGCCCGCTGGGTCCGGCAGGGCTGCCCCGGCCCGGCTGCGTTTGAGCACCGTGAGCACGGACCCGACGGTGCGGGGCGAGATGCTGCTTCCACCAGCATCGCAGCCGCCATAAATATATAAATAAATACATAAAATGAAGAGTTTGGGTTCTCGATTTTGCTCCTTTCCCGGCCCATTTGAGGGTCTGGGTGACAGGGAAGGCTCCACACGGGCTCCGCTAACAAGCCGGGGGGAAGGAAGGAGGAGGAGGAAGAGGAGGAGGAGGAGAAGGAGAAGAAGGAGGAGGAGGAGGAGGAGAGGTGGGGAGGTTAATGGCCCCAAAACACAGTATTTCCGATGCGCAGCGCGTACGAGAGGAGGAAGGCGTCCACTACCTGAAGCAAATGGGATCCCAGCTCCTTGGCCACGTTGTCCAAGGGCCCTATCCTGCTCGGCTGTCCCCAGGCGTCGCCTAGACCTGCAAAGGAACCAAGGAGTTGGTTAGACCAGGGCAAGGGGCTCGGAAGGGGCCACGTCCCCCCTCCCTCCCCTCCCCTCCTCTCCCCTCCGAGCGGCCCCGCTTCCCAGCACGGGGCGTCGTGCCCGAGCTTTTTTTTCCTCTTTTTCCTTTCTTTATTTATTCTGGAAATCCCTCCAAGGGTACTCCCACAGGCGCTCTTTCCCCAAAGAGCCGCACGCCCCACGGGATGTGTCAGCCCCCAGCGCTCCCCCTCGCCCGCCATATCGCGGCGCACCCCCACATGTCGCGACAAGGAGCCGGGCACACTTGTCCGAGGGAGGCCGAGAGCCCCGGCGAGGCTCCCGGCCCGTCCTCAGCCCCGCCGGGCTGTGTGTGTGTGTCTGGTCAGGGATTTTGTTTGTTTTCAGTCCCTCCGTGCAAAGAAGGGGTGCCCGGGGGGGCTGGTGCCGGCACCTGGCAGGCTCCACAGGGGCACAGGCGGCAGGAGGAAGGCGCAGCCATTTCGTGCCTCCTTTGGGGAAAGAAAGGAGAAAAGAAGGCTTTAAGCCCTTCGGGTGAAGGGTCGGTGATGGGCGAAAGGTGAGGATGCTCGGTGCTGCCAGCCCCAAAAGCTCCCTGGCTGGCAGCAGCCGAACCCACGGGGTTTGTAGCTTTGCACATCGCCCATACAAGGCACACCGGTGCACAGCCGGGAAACGGTGTTTTTCTCCCGCTGCCTCTCACCGGGGCCAGGTGCTTCTAAAGAAAACTCCCTCGGCGAGCTTTCAGGGAGTTTTCTTGAAAAAAATAAAAAATGATGAAAAAAAAAAAAAAAAAGAGCGTGAGCCCTGCCCGGCTCCCTCGGAAAGTAAGCTGGCACCCCGGCTGGACGGCGCTGCCCCGAGCTTGGGGTTTTACACAAGTTTTTAGGATGTTGTCTTTATAAGGCTCCCCCCAAAGCCCTCCCAGTCCCACGTCTGCCTTGACCGAGTCCCGCAGCTAGCCCCGGTCTGGATGCGCTGGGAGCCCCTCTCCCTGCTCCCCATCCTGGGCACCCACGGCATTCCCCTCCCCAGAGACGGGGGCCTCGTCCTACTGCCCGGTCCCGGCGGGCGAGCACCCAGGAGCCTGCGGCTTCCAGCGCAGGAGAGGCTGGTGTAACAAGGGCAGCGCCAGCAGCCAAGGTCAGCCCCAAAAGCAGCCGCCTGCCTCCCTGCCCCGGCTGCCCGAGCGGGTGTCCCCAAACTGCAGTCCCAAAGCGACGCTTTTTGGGGGGGACACCTTCCCTCCGCTAAAAAACAATAAATACATAATAGCGTTTCAGCACCCATTAGGAAATTTACTCCCAATGGCCAAACGAAAAGGAGCTCTTTCGTACTGCCTTTTCCCAATTTGCACTTTGGAAAAGGCTACCAATCTTCCGATGAGCCGACAAATTTATTATTTATTTATTTGTGTTATTTCTTCTGCCGAAATGCGGCTTCCTCTGCAGTAGGAAGTTTAAAGGATCGCGAAGGCATCCCGCAGCCCCTTGCTCGAGTCGGCAGCAAATGCGAACGACCCAGCCGGTCCTGGTGCTGCGCGGATTGCCCTTATTTCGATTTACCAATTGCACGTGTCGCAAAACCGTATTGCAACCCAAACGAGGGGTTTACGAATAACGACATTAATACTTAAAAGGAAACAAAAACAAAAATTAAAAAGTTTTGATACGCCCTGGGCAGAGCCCTGATTTTCGCAAGGACGAGGCGGGTTTAGGATTTTAGCCGCTCCCTCCCAAAGCCGCGGCTGGGCAGGTAGGATTTCGAGACATCGCCAAAAATCCCCACGATTTCTGAGGTCATTTTCCGACCCAGGCTAAAACATTCGCTTCCGCAGATTTTTTTTTTTTATTTTTTTTTTCCCCTTTGAAATTTTAATTTGGGGTTGCGATTGCGAACTCGCATCAAACGCCAGCGCGCCCGGTGGCTCAGCCCGGCATTCTTCCCAGCTTATTTTAAAGCCGATGATTTTATCATTTAATCCACCGGCGGATCGGAGGTGGAAACGAAACGAAGGAAAACCTTCGGCTGAGATGAAGGACTAAGGCACATTAACTCGTCTTCCCAGAGATTTGCAGACGCGCAGCCTACGCCCTGTAAGCATATGGATGCAATAGACTCCCAAGAGTTCCTCCTGCCCGGCCAGTAAATAAGGCGCATTTTCACTCACTGCACTGGAGCGGGGCCAAAAGAGCTGCCGATACAAAGCGAGCGGCTTGCGAATCGCTCCTCGGAGGAGGTGGAAAGTTGCTTGGCACGGCCCCGGCCGGGCAGAGGGGGCTGCGGTGTGGGCACGGCTGCGGTGCCGAGAGGGTGGATTTCAAGGAAACCCTTCAAATGTCCCCGTTTCGGCACAAGTTACCTGTGACACTGGCCCGGAGAGAGATTTCTCTGCGAGCAGGGGGTTCTGAGGGGGAAATAAGCGGCCCTAATAGCACCAGGGCCCGCCGGGCCCCCCCACCTCCAGCATCGTGAGGTTTTGTGCAGAAATCCCAAAGTATGGGCAACTCTCACCACGGGAAGACCCCAGGGGCTTCTCCTATGAACGGGTCCCCCTTCCTTCGGCCAACCTGGGCGCAATTCCCCCCCGGCATCCCCAGCACCCCACCCCTCGTCTTTTGACACCTTGGACCTCAGCGTTCGCTTTGCACCATTTCTCAGTGTCCGGGTACGGGGGGTGAACCAGGCTGTAATGAGATCTAGAAATATTTGGGAGCAATCCCCGCTTTCGCCCTCCAAACGTCTGAATTGGGACTCGCGGACGTTTGAAAGCCCGGTAGCGTTTCTGTTTGGGATTCTGCTAAAAGAATTACTTAGCGATGTCTTGTGCGAGTATCGGATTGCCCTGTAACTCGGAGTATTTCCTTCGTGCCTACTACCGTATTGTTCCTCGGCTCCCCCGGAGCGTGTGGTCCCCCCGCGTTATTCAATAGCCAGCTTTCCCCAGGAACCTGGGTCAACTACAAACGCCGGCGTTTCCAGTGCTGCCTCTCCCGGGGGATTTTTCCCCAGGCTAGCCCGGCAGAGCAAAGGGGAAACGAAAGGGAGGCGACGAGCTGCCAGCGGCCCCTGACCTCGGCGGCTCTGTCCCTGAACGGGGACGGGGACAGCTCGTGTGCTGGAGGGGTCCCTGGGCTCCGGGGAGGGGGCCGGAGGCGACGGGAAGCCCCCCGCTAGCTCCCAGGGTGGCTTGGGGAAGGAGCAGGGCCGCTGAGAGAGATGGAAAGATCAAGCCTTTGAGAAGACTGAAAGTTTAAAAAGCAGGGATGAAAAAAAAAATTTGAAAAAAAATCAAAAGGGCAAGTCCCAAAGTCCCGGAGGAAACCTACAAAAGTCCTTCCAGGACATGCGGACGAAGCCACAGCCGGCTCTTCCCGGGGTCACGCTAAGAGGGGGGTCCCCTTAGCCCCCCCCAAGGCTCCCGCAGCTCCCACGGCGGTGACCCCCTCCAGCCCCGACGGCGCTTTGGGGCGACAGCCCGACACCTCCGGTGCCGCCGTTAGCCGCTATCGCGACAGCCGCGCGTTTTCGCTTTAATTGTGTGATTCATTAATTCGTTAATAAACCTCTTCCGAGCGCGGACGAAAGAGCTGCAACCGGCCTTAATTTTCTTCAAATATAGGTTCAGAGATTCACGGTCCAGATTTAATAGGGAGCGAAAACTCTGTACGCTCCTCACATTTTCTATTGTCTGCGTCTCAGAATGAGGAACAGGTCTCAGGGCTGCTACTTTGTCATTTTATTCCGATTGTTTCGTCCAGAACACTTGGTACTTCGGATCACTTATTAAATACCCCGTTCCCACCCGGTTTAAATGGCCATAAAAGCGCAGTTTTAAAGGCAGTTTCGGAAACTACGCTGGGGATGGGGCAGGGAGAGGATCCCAATTTTAGCCGGCTGAGGAGAAGCGCGTTTTCTTTAAACGCTGTTTACTCTCGCGTCCCTTTCATTTGCTCATTTTTAGAAGAAAATGCTGACAGCCAAGACAGAAGAAGTCCCGTGGTATATTTTTTCTTCCACAATAATAAGTGCCTTGGCAAAAAACCAAAACGCAGCCGAGGACGAGCTTACAGAGCCGGAGCGCGGGGGAGGCTGGAGGTTGCTGTCTCCTGGACTCTTAATTCATGAATCCGAAGGTCAGAGCAAAACCCCACGGCAAAACGTACGATGTCGGAGCACGAAATTTTTGCCTTCCAGGGCTTGCTCGCCTTTGCGGGGAGAAAGGAGCAGGAAGATAAATCTCCTTTCGCTCGCGCTTCTCAGAGCCCGATCGGGCGTCTCCGTGGGGGGGGGTGGGGGGGGGAGGATGGGGGATTGGGGGGGGCTCGGTCCAAACCGTGAGTCTCGGGGTAAAGGCACGAAGGGGGGAGATGTGGGTCCTGTCTGAGCCCACTTCCCCGCCCTGTCGGGGTGTTGGGACCATCTCGGCCCGGACACCTCGGTGAGGGTCCCAAACTTTGCCCGAAGTGCGCGTCAGCGCGCTCTGGAAATAAATGGGGGGGTTGAGCGGGGGGGGGGGGGGGAGGTGAGGGAAAGCCATACACCGTTTTTTTTAAAAGCACAGCCCTCTCTCTCTCTTCCCCTCCAGTCTAGACAGAGCTGGAAGCCAGTTTTATAGCTGGACAACATTTCTGATCGCGCTGGCTGCAGCTACCCCGGGCCTAGCACGCATGCCGGAGGCGTCTCAGGCCTCCCCCCGCGGCCGGCTGGAAGAGCTGAAACCCGTTCAAACCTTTTTTCAGCTTTTCTGGGGGATGCTGGGGTGCTGGTGAGGGGCTCTGCCCGTGCCCCGGACCAGCGGCTGCCAGGGGCCCTTCGGCGGCGACCCCCGGAGGGGAAGGGGGGGCTGCTTCGTGTTCGCCTTTGTTCCAAGCCCCAGTAACCTCGGGCATCTCTATGCCCCCCACCCATGGGGCCCAGCGTGCTGGAAGGGGCTTTTTCCCCGGGCCTTGCTACCCCAGAATTTAGGATGCGCTGCTGGGCAGCTCCCTCCGGCCAGTGTGCCCCCCTCTCCTCCAGCAAAACCAACTGGGAGAGACCCCGAGGGAACCCCCGAGGGGAATTCACCCCCTCGGGAGGGGAAGGCAGAGGCAATGGGGCGCCGTGTGCCGTCGGACAGCCCCCCGACCCCCCCCCCCCGACGGCCCGCTGCTCCCGGCTGCCTCCCTCCGGCTTCCCCCGCTCTGCCCTCGGCGGTCCCCCCGGCCTGTCATCCCCGGCCCCAAAGCTTTGGTTGGAAACGCGTTTCCATCCGGACTTAAGACGATGAAAGATGAGGAATTCGCCCTATGCATTTAAAACCTTGCTCTTAATAAGCAGGGTGTGCGGAAGCGCACGCCCGGCCTGTTTAAGGAAGACAGACACATAAAACACCCCCGAGCTGCTGGGTATAAACCTGCTCTCGGGGTCGGCTGCCTGCTCCTGAGGATCAGTAGGGCTGCCAGAGCGGGGACACGCTCAGCAGCATCTCCGCCTGTGCCACTTTGCCTCCCTCCAAAACCAAAGCCGTCGTTCCGGGGACACGCTCCCGATTTCAGGCCGGCGACAGAGAGACCCCCCACACCCCACACCCCCCGAAATCACGGCGTCCTGTTTCCTACGGGGACATTTCCCCCCGCGGGGTAATGGCGAGAAATCAGAGCGGAGCACCGCCTCGCTCCCCCCGGCGGGCTGCGGGAGCGCACTCCGAAGGAGCCCGGCCTTGCCGTAGCGCTGCTAGCGCTGCTCGCGAAATCCCTCAGTTAGATGGCCAGAACGGTAAGCTTTTCCTCGGCTTGGGAGTATTTTTTTTTTTCCGACCCCCCTCCCTCCTCCTTATTATTATTTTTTCATTTGTAGCCTTTTAATAAAGCTCCGTAGAAACCGCGGCGGAGAGCCCAGCTTCCACTCCGTAATTTTTTAATTCCCCCCGCCAACCCCCGGGCCGGAGAGGCACAGACAAATAACAAAAGGGGGGAGCCGGGTTTATCCAGCCGCCCCCCGACCCCAAACAGCCTTTCGCCGCACGTCCCCCAGCGCCGGGCTGGGGGAGCAGCGGGGGGCTTCTGCCCAGCCCCCGGGCAAAGAAGGAGCAAGGGGGGGGTCAGGCCTCCGAGAAGGCGCTGTCCCACTCCCGCACGGCCCCGCATGGAGCAGGTTGGGCCAATAACAACAATAACAACACCCACCCTGAGAGCGGGGGGTCTTTTTTTTTTTTTTTTTTTTGTTTGTTTTGAGAAGAGAAACTGGGGTCCCCCTCAAGCGCTCCCCACCGGCTCTGCTCCTGGGGGGGCTCCTCTTCCTGGTTTAGGAGGCTCCTCTCCACCCCCGCTCCCCCCTCTTTTCCCACCCGGGGCCGGGATCCCCCATCCCGGCCGGGGCACAGAGGGGTCGGTGTCGGGGTGCGGGGCCCCCCCGGCTCTTTTCGGCTTCCCCGCGGGGAGGAGGCGCAGAGGGTGGTTACCTTCGGGGAAGACGGCTCGCATCTTCAGGTAGCTGGTGGTGAGGCGGATGATGGACGCCTTGTCCAGCTGGGAGGTGATGGCCGAGGGCAGGGGCAGGAGTTTGGCCAGTTCGTAGAATTCTCCATTTTCTTTTTCCCGTCTAGTCTTTGCCGCGTTCTTGGATTTTTCCTTCATCGCGACTACTGCAAGGCGAAGATGACACTGGCATATTAGACCCGATTCTTCCGAATTGCAGGGGGCATGGATTTCGGCTTCAGAGTTAGTATTTTCGTTTAAGAAAGGGAGGGAGGGAATTCACCCAAATCAAATCAACTTAAAAAATAAAAATAAAAAGGGGGAGAAAAAAAAAAAAAGGAGAAAAAAAAACAAAAACAAAACAAAAACACCAAACCAACCAAACAAAAACCACCACCAACAGAAGTGGTGCGAGGAGGGGGAAGGCGATCTCTGAGCCGCAAGCCCAGCAGGCAGAGCTGATCGGGAGAAGGCAGTCCTGCTCTGCCCCTGAGCTATCTAGAGCTTCAAAACCGAGACTGAGAGACCTACACGAGCCACGGTCCTCTGCCTGCAGCCGGGATCGGATCTTCTCCTCGCCGGGGAGCAAAGAGCACCGGCTTCCCCTCACCGAGGGATTTCTTCTCCTCGAGCCTTCCCCGTCCAAAACCAATAATAAGAAAATATCAAAAGCAGAGCGGCCGCGCGTGAAATCATAGGGCTAGGCGGGCTGGACCGTTTTCGGACGCTATTTTTGTCTCTTAAAAAAAAAAAAAAAAAAAAGATAAAATGGAAAAAAAAAAAAAAAAAGTAGAGAGAGAGGAAAGAAAAGCCTGCGCTGCTCGTTTATAAGAGAAGCTCTGGTCCCGGTGCGGGGGAGCCGGGAGGGCAGCCCCCGGCTAAACGCGAGCCGCAGCGGCCGGAAGAGGGAGCCGCTGGCCGCAGCTCTGGCAGATCGCAGGCTCGCATTTCCCTCCCGGCCAGGGCAGCTCTCGGCGGCGGGAGGGCCCCTGCCCCTTCCCCTGCCCCTGCCCGGCCCCGGGGGGTGGCTTCAGCGGCGGGGGGCGGCGGGCTGCCCGCGGGGCTGGGGGCGCGGGGGGCGCCCGGCTCCGAGCGCGGCTCTCATGCGGAGCCGCCCGGGGGGCTCCGTGCTCCTCGGGACCTGCGCCCGCTGCGGCGTCGCCTCTGTCTTCCCAAACAAGTCCGAGCGCTGGCAAAGGCTGCCGGTGGATTTCTTTGCTTAGTTGTCTCGGCTTTTCTCCTCTTTCAAGAAATTTGCAAAATCGGGGTTTGGTTTTCTTTCTGGTTTTGTTTTCTTTCTCTTTTTTTTTTTTTTTTCTTCCTTTTTTTTTTTTTTTTTTTTTTTTTCTTTTTAAAAATTGTCACGTTATTTAAAGAGCTGGTGCAAAGCGCTGGCTCTTTCGCACACGCATGCCTTTCCGAGGAAGAAGGAGGGTTCGCTACGGTCACCTCCCGCGAGGAGCAGCGATCCTCACCATGCGGCCAGGCTCCAAGGTAAAACTCCCCTCCTCTCGGAAATCCTGGCCGCCACGCTCCTTGCCTGAAAACACTGATATCTCCGTTTTTTTTTTTTTTTTTCCTCCTTGTTTCTTTTTTTTTTTTTTCTTCTCTCTCCTTTTTTTTTTTTTTTTTTTTTTTTTTTTTTTTTCCAAGGGGCAGAAGGAGCTCTGAAGTGGACCCCTCGGTTTAATTCTTTCGCAAAGGCTTGAAGAAAGCCAGGAGAGCCTCAAGAGGGGAGGGGATAATGTATCCGTGACGTGTCCTCCCGCGCAGCGCCCTCCGAGGAACCCAAATACAGAGGAGCCAGAAAAGAGCCGCAATTAGCACTTGCGAGGGGACGGGAGGCCGGCCCGGGGGGAGCCGGGGGCGGGGGGCGTTTGCTCGCCCCGACCTCCCCGAGCGGCCCCCTGGCCCCAGACCCTACCGCCGGGGGGGGCCCTCGCCGCCCTCCCCACGCGGGAGCGGGGCCGCGCACGGGCACGCGTGGGGACCGCGACACTCGCGGGGCCTCGTTTACCCAGGCAGTGCTGTTTATCCACCGGGTGAAAGGAGGAAAACGCACGCACCTAAGTGCACATGAATCATATATGTAGCACGTCCGCGACATACATACATCATATACACAGGGCACGCGTTGCACTCTCAGCCCCCGACGTGACTCCCACCCGCTTGCCCGTGCTTAGGGCTTCACCCAGCTGCCGCCTGCCTTTCCCGGGGAGCTGTAGGACCCCCACCCCGATCCCCCCGCGGGGAATGGACCCCTTTGGGTGGCTGTGGGCACGAAACCAACCGCGGGGAGGGACTCAGACGGGCCGCCGACGGGATTCCCCCGGTCCCGGCCAGACGGGAGCCCGGTGACCCCAGCCTCACATCCCTACCCCTCGCAGCTCCCCGGGGAAGCGGCACCCAGGGATCCTTGCAAAATTGAGGGGAAAGCCCCCGGTGCCACCAACCTGGCCGAGTTTGCCCCTTTGGGGATGGGAAATGGGGGGCAAAGCCCGGGCACATCCGCCAGGCCGCCCCGACGCCCTTTGCCCAGCACAGCCCCCTCGCCACGCGTGTACCCCGGGGTTTGGCAGCCGGGGAGAGCTGAGGAGATGGGGGAAAAGTTTTCTGCCCCGCTGCCCCTCCAGGGAGGGAGTAGGCTAGAGCTGGCTTTCGGGCCGAGAAAACTTTAGAAAAAAAAAAAAGAAAAAAAAAAAAAAAGAAAAAAAAAAAAACCGAAAAAGAGAAAACCCTCTGTTTTTCTTCTTACGGTCTCTTGCCCCGGTCGGGACTTTCGCCGAGCAAAACAAAACCGATTAATCTAGGAAAACATCAGTCGAAAAAAGACTTCGGCGTTTCGGGGAAATTCTCAAAATTCAGTACAACCTCCGCCCGCCGCCGAAACTGTACGCGTTAGCAGAGGTAAAAAAAATAAATAAATAAAATAAAGAGTTATCCGGGAAAAAAACAAAATCAGATATAAGCGGAAAAATAGCTGTACTTCAAGGCACGGGACTAATACAATACGCTCCGCGGTCGCTAAACCCGAAGAGAAAACTTTCTGGGACCTTTCTGCGTACTGGGAGCAATGATCGGGGCCAAGCGATTGGGGCTCAAAGGAAGGCGACAGGGGAGCGCGTTGGGTTTCTAGCAAATTATGGTGCTTTGGAGAAAGAGCAGGTTTGGGACCGTTTGAAACATAATCCCGAAAGAAAAAAAGGGGGGAAAAATAAACACCACCAGGAAACCCATATTGCTGCAACGATGGCCCAAATTCGCAACCTGCAGCTCAAGCGAGCGCCGGCACAACTCGGAGGTGGCTACAGGGTCTTTTGGGGAAGGGTTCCCCGTTTGGTTCAGAAATTCAAAGCAGGGGACGAAAATAGAGGAGGAAAATTAATACAACAACTGGTTATTTAAATGTTCAGGTCATATTTGCAATTCTACGTTGTTACCGAATCGTGGACTAGGAGCGCACAAAAAGCCCCGTTATTTAGCAACCTTTTGCCGTGCTTCGAGGGGGAAACTCTTCTCCGTTTGGGAAGGAAAAGGACGGGATTTCGGTCTCAGGTGATTACATTGCAGAGGAATCCTTTGATTTTTTTTTTCTCTCTCTCTCTCTTTCTCTCTCTCTTTCTTTTTTTTTCTTTTTTTTTTTTTTTTTTTCCAAGGCTCTAACCAGAAAACGATGATTATAAAAAAAGGGAGGGAAAATGCGTGGGGGGACAAAAAAAAAAAAAAAAAAAAAAAAAACACAAAAAAACAGCAAACTGAAGCAACGGCTGGTTGTCTCCGAGCCGTCTATTTATTTGGTGCCCGGCTGCGGGGGTTCCGCGGGGGTTCCGCGTGTGCGCGCCCGCCGCGCATTTTCCCACGCGTGTCCGCGCCGCGGCGAGGCTGCTGCTGGAGCTGGGGACAAACCCGAGGGGTTTATTCCACGGAGGGGCACGGAGGTGGGAGCCCGGGGAAAGCTGTCCCGAAGGGGCAGCTCAAAAGGAGAGAGTTTAACGCCTTTTTTTGGTTAATCCGGGAGCAGCCGCAATTAACGTCTCGCAGCCGGAGCGGTGTCGGGAAGCGGGGGCATCTTTCAGGGTTTCTTCGGTCTCGTTTGGTTTTGGTGCCCAGCGCCCGAGTGTTTTCCCCGTGTTTTGGGGCCTCAGGGAAAAGGGGGCGGCTTGCCCCCGCACACGGGGTGGGATGCTGAGCGCCCCTGGCCAGGGGAAAGCAGCGCTGTGGAGCCAAAGGGGGTGCCGGCCCTTGGCCGGTGTGCTCGGGCTTAACTAACGTATTAACTGTGAGAAATCCCAGCGAGTTCCTCAGGAAAGAAAATATCATCAGATATTTTAACATTTACGGGCTGTAACATCAGCGTTGGTATGAGCTCAAGAACTAGCACCGCTTATCATCCCCCCAGGAATCCCCTGTATTTTTTTTCCTGTAACTACTGTTCCCAAGTGTGGATGTATACACACACACGCTCACACACACAAATCCTATAAATGCTAATAAAACAGATTCCTCAGGATTTGTTTAACTTTCCCTGGCACCACAATCTTATATTGATATTCAATGGGGTTACTAGTGTGCATGAGGATTACTAGTTAAGTACAGACTGCGGGATCAACCTTCTAGTATGCCACTTGAACATGTCCTTACAAATAAGTAAGGTAGGAGACGTAAGCATTGACAATACGATTAATTTGCACTGAACACTTGAAAGGAAAAAGGAAGTTAAATCACGGCACTAGAATTATTAAACTATGCAGAATTGAGGCCTCAGGTTGCAGAGGATCGTTTTCAGCTCTTTACTCGAAGCTGTATTACTGCTATTGTCCAACCTTTGCTGGCCACATGGGACAACATTTGGCAATCGGACAGAAAATTATTTCTACTGGGCATGAACTGGAAATATCCAGCTGGGGCGTGGATTCCATTTCCAGGCAGAGTGGAGGGAAGGAAAACTCAGTGCTCTTTCTCCTTACTTGTGCTCCTTACAGATAACATTTTCAGAGTTTGTCAAAAGACTCGCTGCTTAAAAATGAAATAAAGTTTATTATTTCCTTTAGTATTAGTACATTTGTTTATTTTCTGTACATAACGTAGGAAAGGGTACACAGTGCACATACAGTACAGTGTCTGTACATAAAGTATGGTGATAATACAGGCATGCAACAGGGCAGGAGCTGTCAGAGTTGATGGACTGATCCAAATGGATGACATTTGGAAAAAATATGTCTGAGTTAAAAACATCGAATGCTCATGTTTGGGTCAGGTTTTCAATTTCAGTTTTCTAAGGAGAATAAAGTTATTTTGTTAAGGCCAACTTTTTTTTTTCTTTTCTTCTTCTCTCTTCTCTCTCTCTCTTATTTTATTTTATTTTTTTTTTTCCCGTCCCAACTGGACGTGGAACTTGATGAATTTTCTGAAAATATTTTCCCAAAACTCAGATAAATGATATTAATTATGATGCCCAAATATTCATGACCAAATATTTATTTCTGCTAATGTAAGCTGCAAACCATATTTCGTTTAACTATACTATATAGTTTAAAAGGTGAAAGCTGTCCTCAGGAATAGAAGAGGGAATGTATCAATCACAGAAAGGAAGCTTCTAGGCTAAAGAAATAGGAAAAACCTAGTCTAAAAAGCACACAGTGGAGCATTTTTGCTCCATTTGTCTGAAATCCTTTAAACATGATGAAAGTCAATGTGAGTATTTTTATTTACTTTTTTTTTCTTCTTTTTTAAGTTATGTTCAGTGACTTCAAGTAGTTTTCTCAATGGCCCTCAGCCTGTATGAATAGTGTGACTAATCTAGTGGAGATGAGTAATTGATCTGTGAGGAATAGAGGAATTCTGATGCAAAAACATCTCTCTCTTTTTTGTTGGTATTTTATGCTACTTGACATTCAATATATTATATAATGACTGTCAGAAGAACTTTGGTAATGCTTTATGGTAACCTTTATAAATACTTTAGTCATGATTTAGAAATGATGAATGGAAAATGCTATTTATAGATAATTATGTGATGTTTTACTATGTTGTAAGCACATTCATAAACATATGTATGCACTCTTGTTAATTACAGGATGTTAATTTGTTGAACATCCTGATTCAATTTTTCTTGCATTTGTCCATTGACTGCTTTGCAATACAGCTACCAGCTTATCTCTAAATAAGTATTTTGCCATGTATGGGCAAAGAAATTTAAGCCAAGATTAATCGATTCACATGGGACTTGGACATTATTGCAAGGGAGAGGGGATGGAGAGGGGAAGCAAAGGTTCTCGTGAAGGCTGCTTTGGCAAACTTAAGACCTCAGCCCTGCAAATGAACACGTACCAGTGAACTCTTGAAGCCATTAGCTTAACGGAGCTTACAGTCCAGCAGTGCAGGCTCAGAGACGTGAGACAAGGCACTAGAGTGGGTCTTTCTCCTTGTTAGGATGGTCAAGCTCATTGAGAAGGTCTGGCACGGGGATGTGAAGACTGAGGATTCACACCTCAGCTCTTTGGGGACTGGTGTTGTGGTCTCAGTGGCTGTGATCCCTTTTGGATCAAAAGCTGGGGCACAGAACAGTTTCATCCCCTGGCAGCTTGCTTGAAACAGTTTGCAAGTCCCCCAAGCTTCATCCTTGCAAAGGTAAGGCTTTGCAGGTGTGTAATGAACCCACGCGAGCCGACTTCACTGAAGGCAGAATGCAGGCTTCTCATTGTGTTCCTAACCAATGCTCACATCTTCCCAGTTTAAAAACAGAGAGATATTTTCTTCTGGCCACCGTGGACCTCCTCAGTAGCACTGAGACTGAAAAGTCATGACATATGGGTAGCAATAACCACAAAGCAGTTACATTTGACATTGAAACATTTCAAACCATCCTGCACCAGCACACAAAACATTTCCTATAACAGTAACCTGCTCCTCAACAAACACACCACCAAGTTTTGTATTTGAACAGCTAGTCAGTCAGCAAATACATCTGAAAGTGTAGCTGCTCTCAGTATAGCGACTTAGAGCTACAACTCATTACTGTTTCCAGCTCTGGATATAACTTATCGTGCCTCTTCCCCTTTGTCAGAATAGATATAACCGAGGTTTCCATGCTTTTATTGTGGGAATCTGGGATATGTTCATTCTTAACTGAACAAAGGCGACCTAAGCTCAGTCTCTGTTAACATCAGAAAGATACTCAGAAGATACTGCCCTCTAAAATGATCTGTTTGACCTTTAGACACTGATCCTGAAATTTGATCTCTGAGACCCACCAATACCAAAGAATTAGACACTTCAGTCACTGGATGCCATTTGAATGCGCTCTCAGTTTCGGAGTTCAAGGCCAGGTCCAGAAAGGGACTCAGGAAGAATGCAGATGCTGAAGTCTAAAACGGGAGTGCTGAACACTTCCACTCGGTTGCTGACTAATTCTGGATGTGTCTAAAGCTCAATTTTCATCATTTCATCCCCCTCAGGCACACGTTCAGTAGCACCTCAGCCTCGGCAGGGCAGAGCTAGTCTGGTACCCAATGTAGACCTGGGAAGTGAGTGTTTCTCTGCTTTTCTCCTTTGGTCTGGACCCCTCACAGTCAATGAATACACTGTGAAAATGCTCTGCTGCCTTCTTCCTTTCCACGATCAACAGGAGAAGTCGTCTTTGCTTTATACACAAGACAAATCAGTTGCATCTGACAGTGAAGACCCAGGTTCAATTCCCTCCTTTGTCCAAAGGGATTCA